GTACAACAGCTCATATTGGATATTAAATTTGGATTATGCAAATATCTTTGCGATATCTATATTCTGCAACTTTTCAGAGCAGTTCTAGGGTCTCAGAATTTATTGACTAACATCATAACGCCATTACCAGCAGGGCACTTACTGAGCAAATCATGATAACAGCMATTCATTGGACTACTAAAAATTCAAATCAAGTTCACCAATTGTTGATTCTGGATGTTTTAAGGCTGTGAATGAAAAAGTGAAACAGCTTCAGAATAAAAATAAAAAATAAAAAAGATATTCAACACTGACATGCTGACCAGCAGGGTCAAACCTCCTTGCTGTGAGGCAGCAGTGATAACCACTGCACCACAGCGCTGCTCTCCTTTTTGCAGTCCATAATTCATTTAATGACTCAATGCCCGCTGGGTGTTTAGAGATTTCAGTTTTTGAAAAATACTGAAAATGTGAATTTGAAGCACAAGGTATTTGTTTTGAGCTCGCAAACCTGATAAATATATCAGTGCTTACTTCCCTATTTCTTACCATTCTACTGGCCAGAATAGCTAATCAACCTAAGAAACTTAAACTGGCTATAATTTTGTCAGTTTTACAGATATTGAGCTGCAGATTTGGTGTAGAGACTGTGAGAGTCATCTTCAACACATCCGGTGGCACAAGGAAGGCAGACCATTAGTGTGATATGAAAACTGCTCTGAGGCTGGCAGAAAGGTGTTAAACAGTGATTAGATCAGCTTAAAGATGACCAACAGCCTTCTCCCTATAGGACACCTGCACCAGCATATGCAGAACCAGTTCAAAAACAGTATGACAGACCCCACCCGTCCAACTCATGAACTGTTCACCCCTAATTCCCCCAGGGCAGAGAGTAGTTCAGCCTCAAAGCCCAGACAACAAGGCTGATGGACAGCTTCTTACCTGAGGCTGAGACTCGTGAGCTTAATCTCTAAGCTGGTCTTTACACTATGTGCTTTTATGATTTTTTTCCATTTTTCTTTAATATTTTAGACTGGTCTGAAGAACATATTTTATTCCCATGTATCAGACGTGGTGAATGACAATAAATCTGATTCTGAAATATACAAGTCAAATACAAGTTTATTAAAATTRCTGGACATTGTGAAATATCAAACCTTACTTCCATCCATCCATCCATCCATCCATCCATCCATCCATCCATCCATCCATTTTCTTCCGCCTATCTGGGGACGGGTCGTGGGGAAAAGCAGCTTCAGAAGGGAGGCCCAGACCTCCCTCTCCCCAGCCACTTCTTCCAGCTCCTCCAGGGGAACTCCAAGGCGTTCCCAGGCCAGCCGAGAGACATAGTCCCTCCAGCGTGTCCTGGGTCTTCCTCGGGGCCTCCTCCCGGTGGGACGTGCCCGGAAAACCTCACCAGGGAGGCGTCCAGGAGGCATCCTTACCAGATGCCCGAGCCACCTCAACTGGCTCCTCTCGACGTGGAGGAGCAGTGGCTCTACTCTGAGTCCCTCCCGGATGACCGAGCTTCTCACCCTATCTCTAAGGGAGAGCCCAGCCACCCTGCGGAGGAAACCCATTTCGGCCGCTTGTATCTGAGACCTCGTTCTTTCGGTCATGACCCAAAGCTCATGACCATAGATGAGGGTAGGAACGTAGATCGACCGGTAAATCGAGAGCTTCGCTTTCTGACTCARCTCTCTCTTCACCACGACGGACCGGTACAGCGCCCGCTTTACAGCAGACGCTGCGCCAATCCGCCTGTCGATCTCCCGCTGTGGAGGAGTTTAAGTATCAAACCTTACTATTTATGTATAAAATACGTTACAACTTGTTACCTAAACATCTTCAGGAAATGTTTTWTGAAAGGGAGGGTGGGTACAACTTAAGGGGAACACTGGATTTCAAAATAAGTAGTACCCGAACAACTATGAAAAGATTTTGTTATCACTGTAACTGGGGTCAAACTATGGAATGAACCAACTAAAACAATGTCCAGGCATAAACCAGTTTAAAAATAAATATAAAGCTACTTTACTTACATTGTACAGAAGAGAAGGGATTTAACATAAATATGAGTTTTTTGTTCCTTTCATTCCTCTGTATTAGATTACGATTATCGTTATTGATATTGGTAATTGTTTTCTTATTATCAATATAATCATTATTTGTTGTTGTTGTTGGTTTTTTTCTCAGTGGTCATTTAAGAATGTCACTAGTATATTTTTTATTATTATTAATACGAAATGATTTATTTTCTTTTTTTTCCTATGTTATTGTATAAGAGTGAGCTTGCAATCATTTTGTCTGTGTATTAATTTGTTTGTTGGCACAGTATGTTGAACAGGCAAGAATACCATGACATGGTTTCAAATGCACATTTGTAAATCAGTGCATCTGCTAGTAAAACACTTCATTAAATTGMGATAAGGGGTAGGATTAAATAAGTGTTCACTTCTTACTACTCCCTTTCAAACAGAAAAGTAGTGGTATTTGGGTTCTTGGTTATGTAGGCATATGTTTTATCATTTTTGTTCTACTGATTGCTTGTTTTTCATTTTTATTTTTTTAATCTGTTTGAAATATTTTTTAATAAATAAATCAAAATAAAGTCTAAAATGTTTATTACTACAAGTGTTTCATTAACACTGACAAAATTCAATCATAACTTCCAGGTCTGAAACTGTGACATGTTTTTTATTAGATTCCTATTTATATTTAATTGCTATCAATAATTAGTTCAAATTATCTCTTTAGCCGTTGTATAAATACTGCATTCATAGTAATATACAACACTGCTGTGAATTAAAAGTATTTTACTGCCCTCTGTTGTTCATTTACATACTGAGCAGTGCATCAAGTAGACAGAAATAAATCTAATTTGTTTCAGCAGAAGCACAGCTTTTAGTGACTGTAACAAAAAATACACCTACTATTATGCTTGTTTCTTTTTTTAATGTAAAATCCTCACAGAAACTGTTAATAATGTGGCACTCAAGCAAAACTCCACGATGTGTTGTCCGTCTTCAAATAATCACATATAAATATTCACATATCTCTGCAACAGTCATAAGTGCACAAACATGTTGCCACAATGTGAACATACGGGTGATTCTAATCAGATTTCATGAGGCCCATTTGGCATCATTAGCTGTAGTGGGAGAACAATTCTCTACCAGAGCAGGATGCAAAAGGCAGGCACCAAGAATCTGGCAAAGATGCAAAACTATCCTCCTTCCCCTGCCAGCTCTGAGATACAAAGCAGTTAGATGCAGGCAGAAATTTAGATTCTCTGCTATGAGGAAATATGTATCTTCATCGCACAGACATGCACACATTGTAAGTCTCAAATGAGAGATGAAACAGATGAGAAGAAGATCCACAGTGAGCCTGGAGGACTGGATAAATATTGACCAGAATGAATGAAATCTGTCACAGTTCGTGGAAAGGGTTATACACTTACATTCAACACACAAACACGCATTCCCTCAAAGAAACAGTCTATAAATTATTTTCCCATCTATAACTGTTCAACACCACATTTGAACAAAACTAGACCTTAATATTTTATGAACAACCTGAGACCGAGTTCCAGTGGAAGAAACATGAATAATGAACATGGTGAGTCTGTGTTTTGCTGATTTGCGTCAGCAGTACATGCATGCTTATATTTATCTTTTTTTTTTTGTTTACGCCTGAATTTCATCCTAACTATCATATGGCTGAAATGTTGTATTTTTTTTCTTATTAATATAAAATATGTTATTAAAGCAAATAAGAATTCTAACCAAGTGTGACTTCGGTGCATGTTTATCTTCTCCTCTTCCTCTAACCTGCAGTCTGGCTGAAAAAAAAAAATAGAAAAAAAAAGTCTGAGTACATTGCCTGTGGAAAAACAGATTAGAATATATTATTTAAGCTTATTATGTTACATTATTAATTTATTAATATTATTATTATTGTTGTTGTTAGACTTTAACAATCATCAGGTGAAAGCATTTAACAGTTGGTCTGTTGAGCATCACTTTGTATCATTCAACATTTTGCATTAAGACTACAAAAATGTAAAAACCTAAGCAAAGTAAAAGTGTCAACATTGATTTTTAATGTGTTAAACCAGTGGTGGATCCAGGATATTTCTGAATTAGGGGCCTTCAAGGGGCCACAATATTCATATTCTAGTATTTGTTCAACATTCTTGCACACAAATCCCTAGTTTTGGCAAGGTGTATGTTTAACCAGACACACATTCAAACACTTGTAATGTAATTTAAAAAAGTTTGCACAGTAAATTCTTCTTATCTAATTAATCATACATTTTTACTGTACATAGATACACACAGCATGTAAGAAAATTCAGCCATTTGAAAGACTTTTACTGCAAGATTGTTCAAAACTTCTTAAGAAGAGAAGAAGACTTCTATGAGCTTGATTCATGTTGAACTTTCCTATTTGACTTATTAGTGCCTCTAGTGTTTGGGCACAGAACTGCATCCACCATCATCAGTCTCAGGCAAAGGATAGATGAGGGACAGGACAGGGGCACTTCAGGGGGCCAATCAGATTTCAGCAGGGGCCAGTGCCCCAGTGGCCCTGCCCCTAGAACCACCCCTATGTTAAACATCAATTATAATATTAATTAAAAACCCCAATTCTGTCAGCTGTTGTCGTTACACACTGTTTCTTCAATCAGTTTAGACAAGGTAAAATTTTTCAAATTTACATCCAACAAATATTTTCTAAAGAGTTCCTACATTTCGGACACCAGAGGTTCAGGTGTTTTATTTATTACTTTATTTTATTTTTTGTCAGCATGGCAAATCAAATTATTTAACTCTGACCTAACAGTGCTTCAGCTTCACTTGTACCATCTCACAACACAGACTTGTATCAGCAAAAAAAAAAAAAAAAAAAAAAAAAAAAAAAAATACTTTATGCAAAATTGTTTATGAATGTAGATTTCTACTTGAATCCAGTTAGTGTTTGAGGATTACACTATAGAGGCAAAAGAACAAGTTGACTCATTTATCGAAACCATTTTATTTCCAGTTCATAATCACTTTGAAAAGTCTGGTGCCAGTTTTCTGTATACAAAAGCCTTAACAAATATAAACTACTTTAGTACAAAGCAGCCGAAAACTCACCAGAAAAAAGGCACATACCGTATAATGTTCATGTTACAGTACTAAAAACACACAAAAATGCATGGTTCATTAAAAAGATAGATGAGCATGTGTATGTGTTTTAAAAGATATACTATTTCTAAACGCTGATTAAATTTGGTCAGTTTTGCAGATTTGTACGCCTTTAAACACAACCCTTCTCTTCATTAAGAAGTTTGTTTCATTTTGACTTGTTCGGTTCTTCTTTTTCACTGTTCTCCCTTGTTTTGTAGTGCTCCTCCGGAAGATTTCTTAGCTTCTTGGCAGCCTAAGACAAGAACACAAAAATAGTGACCTTTATCGCAGTCATCACCATAGAGACTGAATCAGCCACAGTGCTAGGTCTGCTTTAGGAATAATTTTCCACAAAAACAGTGATGAACTTTGCTCAGAGACTGTCTTTGTATGCCAAATAATACGACTTTTAAACACTGGAGTTTAACAATTAGAGAGACATTTCATTAATAAAAGGTCACAACCACTTTGATTTTTGTTTTCAGTTGCTCGCTTTAACAAATTCACTACAGTGAATCTTCACTTAATCACATAATGTGGGAAGCAATGAAATAAAGCATTCCATAATAACCCCTCTAATCTCAACAGGAAGGATAGAACAGGAAACATTTGTGAAAAGAGCTTTGAAAAACACTTATTCATATAGTGTGTTTTACAGAAAATATATGTGAGGTAAATGCATCCATTACCTGCTCTGGGGTGAGATCCCTTTGCTCCTGGGCGAGCATCTCGTACCCCACCATGAACTTTTTAACTGTGGCTGAACGCAGCAGAGGAGGGTAGTAATGAGCATGAAGCTGCCAGTGGGAGTTGTCTTCTTTTGAATAAGTACCAGTTGGGGCCCCTGAAGAGAGACAGAGAAAAAGCAAGATGATTTTTTTTTCTGCTGGAGACAGAAAACTGGCCTCAAGTCACTTACAGGCTTTGTTCACCCTAATTGCGAGCTGCTAAGCTTATTAAGATAGACTAAGGTTGTCCAAAAAATGGCTTTCTACTTCTTAAGGCTTTTTAAAATCATATCTCATCACACATATTTGATGAAGTCACAATGAAAGCTTGACAGGTTCTGAACTACCTTGGAARAAGATCAGTCTCAAACATATAAAATAATACAAAAAAACTGTATTGTAATTTATTATGTCAGTAGGGGGTGTTTGACAAACTTTTCATTAGAAAGCAGTTATCTTTTTAACTTTAAAAAAATAGGAAGAATGAACTGGAAGTCTTATGCATTAACTTGACATTAAATCAATGATTTGGTAGAAACTCAAGTGCACATTACAAGCATACAGGTACATTTTGGAATTGTTAGTCTTTTTGCATGACCCAGAAAATATAAATGGGAGTTCACCTATGATAGAAAACATCCATAGCAACTGTTAAAAAAATACAATATGTTAAATAATAATAATAATAATAATAATAAAAATAATAATAATAAAATGGTCCAAATCTGCCCGTTTCAATTCAGAAGTATACTCCAGTAGATTAAATCCTAAACATGAGGGCAGATGCCAAGGTGGGTTTGAAGTGAGCCGAGATGGTGTGGGCCGAGTTGGCCAACAAATTAATGTGCACGGCCAGTTTTCCAAGCTGTACACACATAAATGGGTCATAATGTTGGAAAATGGGCTTTTCAAAACATGACTGCACAGCTTGTCGCAAACACTCAGAATTCAGTGAGACAGCAACTGAAAATTTGCCAACTTTCTTGTAATTCTCCCGCAATTTTAAGTTGCTAAGTAGTCCCCAACAGTGAGATACTAACTTACGGCAAAAGGCAAAGAACTACATGTCCAAAATATTTCTCATTTCCAATATCATGCAGGCAACAGTCAGAGATAATTTCTTTTTTTAGGCAAAAATGTGCAGGAAGCAGAGCTTTGAACTGGCCCAGGTTGATAAAATAGGTCAACCAAAAGTGATTGGTACAAACCGACAGCTTTTATTTTCTAAATGTTGCAGGACATTTTTTAAAGGATAGATGTAAAAGTAATAATCTCTGCTGCTGATGACAGAACTGTTTGCATGCAAAGCTTTTCCCGCGGGCATGACTCCACTAAGACGATTCGCTCAATGACACATTTTCAGGCCTTGGCAACCCAAAACAAACTGACAAGGTTGTGTTATCTCAGGGTTTTTTGCATTAATGTCACTTCAGCTCTTCAGATATCAAAGCCAATGTGCTTAAGCATGGATGTAAGTTGTTTTTATTTTCATAAAAAGACTAAAAAAAAAAAAAGAAACGCTTCTTGGCTGCAGCTCAGTCACCACCTTATTGTTATTAACAAGGTGAATTAAAGTTACAGAAATTGTCAAAATTTGGTAGAAAAAAATGACCATCTTGTTCTACCAGAACAACAATCAGACTAATTATAAAACTAAAGATAAAATGTCATCTAATTTAAAAAATGGTTGTGTGAATGAGTCGCCTTTATTTATTCAACTGAGATACAAAGTAGGTGTTTATCACAGTTTTATATTAGTCACCTCACTTTTATGTTCATTAACCATCTGCATTTGTCAAAATATTATTATTTTTTATTTATTTCTTCCATTTGTACAAATAGAGAAAGTGTCCAAGCCAAAAAAAGTTATGACTCAGAGTAAATTGTCACTAATTTGCAACAAGAACATCTAAACACCTTTTGTGCTACCTTCATTTATTTAAAGGGAGCTAATGAGGTGATCTGGGAAACGCCGGTATGTCGCTTAACACACAAAGTTTAAAAAAAAAAAGATCCCTAGAGACATTAAGAAAAGCTTTTTATTTTATTTATTTATTTATTTTGCTTTTAAGTCAATTTCCTGACAATGGGTGCTAATCACACACAGATAAAGATGGCAGGAGGGCAACATAAAGGAAACTAATTGATGGGACAAGAAAGAGGAGGCATAAAGAAAAGCCTACAGCATCCAGATAAAGAAAGAATCCAGATGAATGTTCCTATTAGAAGGCAATTATACAGTTTGTCTTTGGTTGTGTTTGCATTCCTGCTGGAGTACCAGCGTTATTTAAGTTACTCTGTGGTACCACCAACCATTGTAATACAAAGACACACTATAATACAATGTATATATTATTATCCTTCTATTATAAACACTGTTTATCAATAAAATTTCAGGATAATTTTATTTATGAAATAATACACCATTCTAAATAATTCATTTGTGTCCAATCGTCTCTGTGTCTCATAGTCTAGAAATAAGGTGTGAGATGCTAAGTATTATTACACTCCTGGGGGAATAAACAGGTATTCTAATCTGTGATTTCCCAGGTGACTTGAAGAGCATCAGACCATGTCTASTTCAGCACACAGCCAATAATAAGTCGAAACAATACCTGTCTGTCTGCTGTCAAATGAGCTAAAATAATGCAGGAGAATGGGACTCGTTATCTATCAGTTGGTCAGTGTACATTCAATTTTCATATTATGCAAAAAAAACCTACTATGTGCAAGCATATATCATACTTTTTTATAAGTAATTAAAGTTTATTTATTTAGCACCTTTTACAAATATACAAACACAAAATGATTCATAAGAAAAGCAAGAAAAAATTATACATACACACACACACACACAGAGAGAGAGAGAGAGAGAGAGAGAGAGAGAGAGAGAGAGAGAGAGAGAGAGAGAGAGAGAGAGAGAGAGAGAGAGAGACCCTCAGTCGACGTAACCAACCAGGAAGAATTTAGTCCAACAGCTCAAGGCCATGTGAGAGAGCCAGATTCTGTAATCAGTTGTTTTGGGAACAGAAGTGCCGGCAGACAATAACATTTTTCCACCTGCTTTAATGTCTGCTGGTACATCTCAAGGTGACGAATCCATTCAGACAAATAGTGTGTACAAATTCTGCCGAGCCACGCTATCAGTTTTCTCCAAGATCAATTCCATCTGGCCAGCAAAGTCCAGGGACCACAACCGGCCCATGACCCTCAGCAGAACTGCTTGCAGACCGAGTCCAGCTCGCTCAAGGCAAAAGTCTGAGTGTTGATAGAACAGCAATCCTTCTTCATAATGGTCAGGCAGCCAGGAAATGAACAGCCACCAACGCTGTTTTGTAGAAACACCAGGAGACCACCAAGCAAATCTGTAGAATCCAGTGATCGGAATCCAAATATATATCAAGAACAGAGCAGAACAGAGGTCCCACCTTTGTCATGTCCTCCCATGAAGAAAAAACTTTGTTCCAAAAATTTATTAAGCAATCATATCTGTTGCAATTCTTGTTAAATGGAAGGGTAAAAACACCTATTTTCACTGTAACGCAATTTCCTTTGATTTGTTCATCTCCTTAAAAATGAATGAAGTCGACACTAATTATTCCGTTTTTCACACAACTTCCACACAACTTTAAAATAAACACCAGTTTTTAATTTTGTGGGTTGCTTTTTTCCCCTCTCCATTTCTGTCCTGCCTTCTCAGTGTCTTGACACTCACCATTTCTTCTATCTGAATAACTAGGAAAGGTGCTAATTGAGCAAACTGTGATATTTCACAAATCATTGGGCGTGTAGGTGTTCTTTGAAATCTTATGATACTGTGTGAATTACGAATATGAGTTCTATTCACACGTGTCAATAAAAACACTGTTAAACTAACATTTGAGTACCACAAAAACATAAGTTTTATACAAAACTTTATGCATACTGTTAGACCTTGCATCATTAATCAAAACATAGTGCAGTCAATTTTTCAGGTAGATTAAAAACAAAAGGGAAATATATGCATAATTAATCAACTTACTCTGCCTAAAACTTTTGACAAATCACCTACAGGTGATCAGTAGCTTTTAGTCTTAAAGAACAAAAACAGAATATGAGATTAAAGCCAAAGTCTAACCCACGACCTCCAGAGGCAAGTGTACACCCAGTTTTTCTTCAAAGATTTAAAGATTTTTCTGATAAAACAGAAGCTACTGAAGCTCTGACCGTGTTCCCTCATGCCCTCTGTCCTTCATGCCACACTACAGTTAGAATAGGAGAGCATTATCTGTCGTTTTTTTACAAACTACCTTTCATGTTGGCTGCTATCTTGAAAGTAACCTCTTAAAAAAATGAAAAGAGCACAGAAGCAGAGTAAAACCCCTATAATATTCACCCAGGTGGTAAAGTTTAAAAATGTATAACCTTGTCTTCTGAAACTAATATGCAATGACACGACCATGGCTCAAAATATTGGCTGTCTGAAATGTATTAAATTTGTCTGAGCCACCTAACGTCTGTGAGGCTGTGAACTAATTTAAACAGGATTCATTTCAACCCTGCGGGTTAGTTGTTATCAGTCACACTATGCTCACACCTCATTGCCCTGAGGCTGCTAATAGAAGATGAAACAGATAATAAAAAAAAATCCTAATTACGAAATGGATTGGCAAAACAGCAAAAGTCACAAAAAAGATGAAAGGCAACTGCAGCTTTGATATACATGAATGCAACTTAAAATGCTCACAGTGGCAATACCAAGTTGTTTTTGGGCAGGTCTAATATATCCTGTTTACTGTTATTTAAATGTGTTACAATGCAATGTTAGATCGGACGGTCAGATTCACCCCGAGGAGAAGGACGTGTTTGYTTTAGTCAGTAAGCATCGAGATTTTCTTGAACACGAATAACTCACAGAAGACGGACATGAAAAGACTGCACCTGTAACCCTCTGCTCATATGAGAATCGCTCGTCAGCCATGATGACACTGCTTTCCTCTCTGTCATTCATCACTTCATCGCATCACTGCACTCTTCTAACCTCTGTTATAACGCAGGTCAAGCATAAAGATAAAATAAAAATAGAAACATATAAAATCAGCTTTAGTTTAGATTTAAAAGTGGTACATTTTGTTTTTAAGTTGAACATGTTTTCTCTTTGGTTTCACACATTTATTTTAACAATTTGCAACTCAAAAACACATGATTTTTGTTTTATTTATTTGTTGTCTGGTAAAACTATATTTATGTTGCTGCAATTTTTAACTAATTAGTGCAACAAGATAAATCTAGATACTAAATAGCAGTAGCACATACTGTATAACCCCCGCATGTTCACAAAGCACCAATGTATGAGAACAGATTTATTGTTTTGGGTGGGGGACTCGTT